AGGCACTCAAAGTGCTGACTGCTGCCTAAACCTTGCTACTAGATGAAAAGGACTTTAAGGCAGCCCTAACTGCCCTGCTACACTGAAAGCTACAATACAGGAAAAGCGGAGGAAGAGAAATAGCTGCAGCACAGCCAAAAGGACCAAAAACTGAGTCCAGTGCCATAAAATGATCTGCAGAAAAATGGGCTCCCCTACTTTTAAGCACATTTACCAAACCCATATAATGGGATCTCATTTCAGGAGAGCATTAACCTGAATGGCAGCACCATACAGGTAAGGCAGGGGGGTTATACATCCATGGTCCAGTAGATTTGAAGACATAAAAGAGAATGGGTGAGCGGTGGTGGGGGGGGGGCGCTTAGATTTAAAGTTTTTGGTCCTATGAGTTGAGCTACCAACCATACGTATGCTACCAAGAAAAGGAAGTTCTTGCTTGGCTGGATAGAAACATGGGCAAGTCAAAGGAAAGAGCCTGCTTTTCCATGCTGACAAAATATTTTGTTGGGAGAGTTCTTGACTGAAATTGGGCAAAAGGAACTGGCTCAAAGGAGATGACCATTAGGTCTAGAACGCTCATGGTGAATCTCACATGTATCTAGGATCAGACCCAAGTATTCCAGATGAAAGAAAGGCCGGAGAGCAGATTTTTTTTTTTTCCCACTCAGCCAAAGGCCTAAAGCATCTTGTCTTGTGGACATTTTCTTAGAGTTGCAAGGGACAGGACTCCTTTATAAGGTCATCTAGACAAACTGGAGGTGGTTGTCTGCCATTGCAAAGCATAGAAATCGCTGATGAGGTGGGTAAATGAGAACATTCAAATAGGCACCTTGGATTTCCATGAATGCCATATACTCCTCTTATCTGAGAGGCAATTACTGACTTTGCAGATTTCATGTGAAATTTTGGAACCTGAAAGAATTTGTTGAGGTATTTTTAGGTCTAGATTAGGACAAATACACCTGCTAGGCTTTAGTACCATAAACGGGTTTGAGTAGAATTCTTTGAACTGGTCTTGTGATGGTACTGGCAACACCTACCTGGGACAAGAGGTGGTTCAGAGCATTCTGCAAACCTAACTGCCCTTGGGCAATTTTTGGTTGATTTGAAAAGAGGAAAAATGTTGCCGTGGTACAATTTTGTTCCCCAAGGAAACTATCAATTGAACCAAAAGGTGGACATCTGTGACCCAGAGAGAGGCAAACATTTTCCTACTCCTAGAAGTGAGAGTTTCTTTGTAAAGCAGGCTTTCGGGAAGGCTTGGTGACTTTTGTGGGCCAAGCATTGTGCCAAAAGGCTGAACTTCGGTTATAAAGTCTGATTAAAGCACACCTGTGCTCTGCATTTATACACGCTAACAGTGCCTGGGGAGGTTGGGTTTGGGACCTTCCTCTATGGAAGAAAAACCTTCCCACCTGTGACCTTTTTGGTGCCTCACCAAACAGATGTCTTCTTTGGAGTGTCATACATTATGTGTGAGGTGCCTTTTGCCGGCAGCTTCAGCTGTCGAAGCTTTTTAGTCATAAGAATCTATTGAAGTGAATGAAGATAACAGCCATTCTGGACATTCGTCTTAATGATATGTTCTTGTGAATCCACATACTGAGGTGATTGAGGAGTACTAACAAAAATAATAAAAATACCAGTAAAGCTGATTTCTATGCAGAGAAGAGATCCATCACCTTCACACACTGTAGTGGGGTAGGCACGTTCTGTAAAGCTTTGCCAGTGTCCAATCACCTGAAGGTATATACCTATAGACCATGGTGTATGAATATGTTGTCTTGTACTGTACAAGATACTGTAATTTGCAGACCTACATTTTTATTATATTTATATTTTTAAGAGCCACCAAGGATTTTTTGTGATACACTGATATAATAGTGAAAAAACCCTGCTTTTTATTTAGACTGATAAATGTACAAAAATGTAAGCAAGATCAATTTCTATTTTTTTTTTTTATTAAATATTTTTATAAATGCAACTGTACCTGACAAATACACTGTTAAATGGATGGCACTGCAGCCTGAAGATGTCTTTTGTCAGTGAAGCCTCCAGCCTATATGTGATCACTTGTGGGGACACAGCTGTCACTGACAACCAAGACTTGTGCAAAGTGTTGGCTGCTGGCTTTAAAAGAGGGTAGGTTTATTAACATATCCCCATGTGTATCGCAAGGTCAAGACAAATTCTCTATAGGAAAGAGAAAATCTCACAATAATTTAAATATGGCCAATGAACCAGTTCCCTTGGAAGGTAATGAAATGAATGAAACAACTGGCATCCAACCAGAACCAATTTTAGCCATACCTGTGCTTTTAAGCTTTGTCACACTGGGCACCTTTGGTGATATGATTATTCTTCAAATAAACAGCCAAATACAATTTTTAAATATGTTTATTTCCTAGAGTGAAATAAAAAGGTCTTCCATTCAGGAGCTTTCCCAGGATCACCAAGTCTGAGCAAACATGTCAAATATTGACAACATATTTGTTGAATACTGTGCACATTAAAGGCACAATAGTAAAAGACGAGTCACTGGGGGTTGTGGAGAACTAAAGCTTCAAAGGCTACCTCCATCTTTAAAAACGCAACTTCAGGCAGTTGGGGAAAGTAAACAACATCCAACTTACTGTCAAAGATTCATAGCTTGAAAATCCCAGCAGTACTGACTTTGTGAAGTATTGATTCTATAGAAAGCTCTAGGAAATCCAGGGGAACCAAAATATCTCAATCTCCCTAGATTTTTAAGACAGGGTGCTTTTCTAATGTCACCAGAGAACCAAACATAATATGATAAAGTGGTCTTCACACATCATCAATACTGGCATCCAACAACAAGGCGGGAGATGCAGCCCCTACTCTGTTAGGACTTTGTAAATATGCCATCTATTACATGATATATGAGCTATATCATTCCTGTAATCTGACGTGACTAAGCATTATGGGAATACTGGTTTTCACAAACCTAAGTCTTCTGAATTTAGGAGAAAGCAGCTGTATGTTTTTAGGTTAAACACTTGCCCTCCACCCCATAGCAGAAACACTGCCGCAGGGCTGCGCAAAATCACGTATATATACACAGGTGATTAGCATTTGTGGGGAAAAGGGGGGGCGCCGCCCTAACCTCGCCACTATTGGCAGCTAGAGATATCAATCTCTAGGTCCCGACCGGCGATTCCTGGCCAGCACTCGGCGACTGTTGGGGAAAGAGGACAGGGGAAAGACCTGTGTGTAAACACAGGTCTCTCTCCTGTCAGCATGGACATGCTGTTTTGTATCTTTGCACAGAGATACAAAACAGCATGTCTCCCAAGTAAAACGCAGCATACAGTAAAACACACAGCTAACCCTTTGGTCGCCCCAGATGTTAACCCCTTCCTGCCCAGTGTCATTAGTACAGTGTCAATGCTTTTTATTAGCACTGGTCACTGTATTAGTGTCACTGGGGATGTCAGTAGCAGTTAGTTCCCCCTCAGTGTCAGAAATGCCCTCCGCAGTCCCGCTATAAGTCGCTGATCACCGCCATTACTAGTAGAAAAAAAAAAAAAAAAAAACTCAGTATAAATACAGCCATTTGTAAACACTATACCTTTTCACATAAACCAATTAATTTACAGGTATTGGGGTGTTTTTTTTTAGCAAAGACATGTAAGCGGAATACATTTTGGCCTAAATTTATGAGGATATTTGATTTTTTTAAATTTTTCTTTTGGATATTTGATAGCACGAAGTCAAAATTTTTTTTTTTCCCCAAAAATTGTCGTTTTTTTGTTTATAGCACAAAAAATAACACCACAGAGGTGATCAAATACCACCGAAAGAAAGCTATATTTGTGGGGGAAAATAATAAATTTCATGTATAGCATTGCATGACTGCGCAATTGTTAAAGTAACGCAGTGCCGTATTGCAAAAAATGGCCTGGTCAGGAAGGGGGCTAAATCCTCTAGAGGGTAAGTGGTTTACTAAATTATGTCACTGGTAAAAATATGTAAGATTGCATAGTCATAGAACTAGCTTCATACGAGGGTTAGACAAAAAAAAAAAAAAAAGGGAAACCACTACATGATTTGCAGGGTGTGTCACATGACTGAGATTGAGTTCTGCAGGAACGTTCACAGCAGTTGTTTTCTTATTCCGGGTCACAATCCTGCACAATGTCCTTTTGTCTGTTTTGATCAGTTAACCATGTCAACCACGCTTATGCTCATCAAAAGACGTTTTCCCGGAAACTGTATATGCCATCACCTTTGATACTGTACCTTGCGACACGGCAAATAAAATCAGCAACTTCAGTCACAGAGGCACCAGCTAAGCGGTGCCAACAATTTGCCCTCTTTGAAGCTCAGTCAGCTCTGACATGACTCTGTATTACTAGCAGCACATTCAGTGAATGAGGAAGTGAGGCTTCCCACCTGTTAGCTAGGTGTCTCATCACACAGCAGACGCAAAAGAATGTTACATCACCGCTTTCAATGCGAAACGTGACTTTCACACCTGCAAATCATATAGTGTTTCCATTTTTTTTTTGTCTAAACCCTGTAGCTCCAAAATAAGAGTGACTGCTCCTAAAAGTTGGTTAGACCAAGACTTTCAAGCAATGAATCACCAGTTTGTAGCATTTCTTACTTTCCCCCACACTGACAGAGTAATGTGGAGCTGCCCTCTAATACTACATATGCCCCTCCTGAATACTTCAATCTTAAAGTTACAGTGGCCATAACAGAGGGGAATTATACATTTTTAAATACAAATAATGCTGTAAAAACATTAAAGGTGGAAATAGCCTTTCCATACATCTTACTGAATTCACAAATCAAACAAAGCAAATGCCCCTATACAGTCAACACCTTAGTAGTTAGGTCATAAAAATAGTCACTTGGATTGAGCAATTCTGTACAGCAGACATCTCCTCTTGCTACAATTTGTACATTATATACACCATTACCGTACAAAAAGGAGTCTTTTTCCATGATTTCATATTTAACGGAGAAAAGAGCTAAAAACCAGACTCTGGACTTATAAATAAAGCAGAGAAAGCAAAAGCCAAGAACACCACTCCACCGATGATTGTCACTGTAAAATAAAAATGACAGCGTCAGATCCAAAGTTTCAGCTCAACATACAAATGCTGCATGCTTGCCACTTACTAAACAAAACAACTGAACTGGAGTAGTCTAATTTACAAAAATCTGTGCAAATCATGGAAGTTTCTGGCTTTTAAAATATGAAAAGACAACTGGAATGACCTATGAATAAAACCACTAATGCTCCTGGTCTACCTATTGGCTGCAAGAGGTATTACTTTTCAAGACAGCTGCTTCTGCTACCCCATGAAATGATGGTATGTTACTGTATGACAATATTCCTTTTTCTTTCCAAAAGTATTTTTTCCTATACTGAGTGTGACTTGAAGCGGTCATTACTAACTACCTTGAAAAATGCTAGCAGCCTCTTGCTTTTTTCCCAATATTCATACTTCTTCTGTGTCAGTATACTTAATCTACATACCTCTTCTGAGTCATTACAAAGTATTAAAGTAATTGCATCAGCAATTTCAACCAGGTATGTAGTACCCTCTAGTCTGATACTAGAGCAGTGTAGGTAATGTATTGTGTACAACTCATAGTAACTATGCGAGTCTGTAAATCAGGTTGGGTTACTGCAGGTCAGTCTGAGTGGCTTAACAGGTTGGGACTCCATCGCCTCCACCTGGTTCTGGAGGACCATGGTACCTCCAAGAAGGCAGTGGGTGAAAGCAGTGGAGACTTAATCTGCATGTTTATGGGATTTTAACCAATCCCAGGTTTGGAGGCCCTGGTAGAGTGGTGAGACCACCACTCTACCAGGGCCTGGGAGAGCCAGGCTGGCACGGGAGTCAGGTGGAAGATGGTGTGCTGAGGAGATTGTCAGTGGCCTGGGAGGGCTCCTCTAGGTTTGGGGGATGGCCTCCAGGCTGGCTCAGGAAGGTCCATTTAGCATCATGGCATGAACAGGATCAAGGCCTGGAAGCAAGGAGGACAGACTGAGAACATCAGCACACCCAGGATCTACAAGTGGAGAGACTGCCACATGTACAAGCTTTCAAAGGAGAGCGTTGTGCATAATCCTTTTTCTGGGAGATCTCCAGAGCAGCCAGGAGGGCTGGTAGTGTCTGCAGACTGTGGCACTGGGAGCAGATCTACAGGGGAGAGGAGAAATCTGCATGTAGTTTACAGCAAACTAAGCTAAGTTTCAGGGGGCTGCAAGTCCCTAGCCCATAAATGGCTTTTGCTACTGATCCGTAATGATGACCGATTTCAACGAAAAGAACAGTCCAGGATCTGTTTCTGTAAATAGGAAGTTGTCCCTGTGCATTGATTCAGTCAAGTTGGGCATCCCCCATAATCCCCATTACCCTACCTAAATTACATCCCATAATAAAATAAAAACCAAACTCATGGACTGTTCATTGATTGTGGAAATTGTGTGTTGCCTGGCTGTGCAAAGCCTAGAGGAATCTAGAAACAGTTGCCCTCAAGAGGGTAGTGCTACAGGTAAACAGCAACTTCAAAAAGAGACATCAATAATAGCAGACACATTATTCTTCTCACTACAAAGTTCCTATTAGTTTTGGTTTTTTTTTTTTTAACTAAAAGTTTAATCCTACACAATTGGAACAACAGGGATATATATGTAGAAAATTCAATGAGCACAAAGAACATGCAAATACAATCCAGCAATCTTCCTTGAAAGGGAAGTATAATGCCTAATAAGTGGAAAAGCTTGAGATCCGATTTGTCACCAGTGTACCTAAAGTGAACCTGTCAGGGGGTTAGCAGAATTTAAAGGGAATACTCTGATGAACTCGTCTGTCCGTTGGCCCATTTTCTAAAATCTTCACTCTAAAGAAGGGCTCCCAACACTGACAGGGCAGCCCACTTTAAATCTACCTCTATTGCTTACCACTTTTTTAGTATGCCTGAAGATTTTCACAGGCAAAACACATTTAATAAACTGTAGCCTATAATGTTGTCATATTAACTGTAAAGCAGCTAAAGTTTGCACACTACACACAGATCAAATATGCAGGGTGGTAAATAGTGATACTGGAATTACTTACCAGTCCGCACTGAAATTTTTTGTGCAATCATCCTGCCTCCAATCACCGCTAATCCAGTGCATAAACAATGACCTATGGTTCCTCCAACAGCAACACCAAAAGGGTCCTGTAGCAAGGGAAAACCATGAAAATTCCTCCAAAGAAATAGAAATAGACAATTAATTTAAGGCAGCCATACAAACACTCACCTCTCTAGCTGCCAAGACAATGGTTGTTAGCTGTGATCGATCCCCCCACTCTGCCAAGAAGGTCAAGGTAAATGCCTGGACGAAGATTGGAGAGATGAAGTGCATCCATCTCTTCTTGGGGACAATGGGCCCCCCTCCTGTTTCCACATCTGCAGGTCCGTTCAGGAGTTTAGATCTCTGAAGCTGATGGAGAAAAAGCCAACAACCAATAAAGCTGCTATTTGTAACTGTGCTATAAAGCTATGGCTACGAGAATAGTCCCACCTCCTGGAATGATTTACTGAGCAGAGAGTTCATCAGGGGAAAAACTCAAGGATAAGTTCACCATTAGGAACATATTACATGTTCCACCCATTTTTAGGCAGCTTCCACCTGTTCCCCTGCTAATTGTGAAAGCGTGCCATGGCTCTTCTCTGCACCCGCTGTCACAATTTGAAAAGAATGCAGCTGTGCGGGGCTCCGCTCAAACGGCCGCATAATTCATTCACAGTCTCCAGTGAATTAATGAACTACAAGTACCAACAGCTTTTGCGGCTGACAGCTTGCAGATTCTCAGTGAACCACCAGGGTGCTGGTGAGCACTCTTTAGTTCATTGAGTCTTCCTGTCACTGATGAATGAGCTTGTTCATTTTGAGCTGTTTGACTCATATAACATGGATGACCCACCCAGCAATTGGAGGAGCATGGCAGGTTTCTATCCCTTTGGATGTCTTGCTCTTACAACAAGAAACAATGCATGATGAAATTCATTAGTGTGCAATTCAAGACATGAGATCCATGTTAATACTTACTTCTTCATCTTTTCTTTTAATTTCTGCTTGTACTTCCTCTAGCTCCTCCTGTCCTTCATCAGGACTCATCTTTAATCCCTCCCTTAACATTCGAATTCCAAATATTGCGAAGAGTGCTGTAGACACATAGTATGTATATACCCTGGGGATGACTGTGGTAGCATATCCAAACAGAACTGGGGGAAACATGAGAAGCGCTATGAAGACAGACTGAGTGAACAACTTGTACATATCAGCGTTTCTACCATATCGGATATGACAAGCCAGGACAACATAATTACATTGCACACTCCCATATCACACTTTGTTATAACTGCAGATACAGAAGACTTTATTATTATGAATATCCTATACTCGATTTTAAATATTAGGCTTTCAAAACAACAAATGAAACGTTAGTAAAGTGGAACTAAACCCACCGATTAAACGCTTTCCCCAAACAGTTACATCCAAGGCAAGCCACCCACAGTTGCTTGTGCTCTCAACCAAACCGTGAAGCCATCAAATGGCTGGTGTCGTGATGTATCGCCCCATAGCAACAGCAGGTCAAACAGAGTAAGAAGGCAGCTTCCTTGGCTTTAAAGGATAGGAGGGTTTAGCTCTGTTTTAACTATAGGGCACAAGGGATCTGTCTAATGCTTGTGCAGGCATAGCAAAAAAAAGTAAACGGGACCACAGCACCCACCATCCCTAGTCAAAACGTGCAAAATGTCTGGAATTATGTATCTATAATGTGTACCTAGCCAGATGTTTAAAATACATTTTCTTTACATTCTTTATCTTTAGAATAAAGAATCAGAGGAATGAACATACCAAAAAGAGAAAGCTATAAATCCAGTCATGTTACAGTAAAATGATATGCAGGGACACAATCATAGACAAGACCTGAGTATGTCTACATAGCAAGCATTTAAGCAAAGATGTCTCAGAAAGGTCATTCCTAGCTGTGTATAATTTGCTTCCCAGCATAGGTCCACCAACCACTTACGAATGGACTAAGGTAAGTTCCTTCAATAAGACATAAGGAATATGCAGAGGTGAACAGGGAAAGGGATCAGAAGGTTGGGAGAGGTTGTTACCCTAACAGAGCTCCCAAGACAACTCAGGCACTCCAAAAGACTATCTAGCTACAAGAAAGAGAGAGATGGAGGAGAAAGCAGAGATTAAAGAGAAGAACTCCTAACAAGATGGTGGGATTCTTGACGAGCAATCCTGTAACAGGTCAATCCCAGCCAAGCTAGTCTGTAGCTGATTTTATCCAGCTTAGAGATCCATTGCAGTTACTAAGTCTACTGTTGGGAGTTCAAAATGTTACGACAGTCTACTGAGCAGGTGGATTCAGTCCATGCAAACTCCTTTTTGTTTGGATAATATAAGTATTAAATATACATAAAATGGTAGAAATAATATTCAAGCTCTAGAAATGAAGAATACAGCCAAAAGATAGCTACTTACCCGATAAACAAGTCATCAGTCCTAAAGCGAGCATAGCTCCAGCCAGCACAGTCAGGCGATTATAACGCATTGCCATTATGGCGGCAATAAAAAAGGTCTTATCGCCCAACTCTGAAACAATGATCACAGATATAGCAGCTACAAAGGCATGGATAAACCCCAAGTTAGCAGTGGAAGTAAACTCTATGTTCTGATCATGTACAGCAGGAGGCAGACTTGGTATTTTCTGTAAAAAAGGAAGAATAAAACAGAATTTATAAAATAATTGAATCTGTTTCTGACAGAACAAAAACAAAACAATGGAAGAATAGATCTTTCTGTAATGTAATGTAACACTGTACCCAAAACTAATACTGTTTCTTACTTTTCATATAAATTCTTTATTTAACCACTAGCCTACAGGGCACTTATACCCCTTCCTGCCGAGGCCAATTTCCAGCTTTCAGCGCTGTTGCACTTTGAATGACAATTGAGCGGTCATGCAACACTGTACCCATATGAAATTTTTATCTTTTTTTGTGACCGATAGAGCTTTATTTTGGTGGTATTTAATCACCTCTGGGTCTTTTATTTTTTTCTTAAACAAACCAAAAACCACTGAAAATTAAAAAAAAAAAAAGTTTTTTCTTAGTTTTTGTTATAACATTTTGTAAATAAGTGATTTTTCTCTTTCACTGATGTGCGCTAATGAGGCTGAACTGATGGGCACTGATAGGCTGCCCTGATGGACACTGATAGGTGGCACTGATGAGGAGGCACTGGTAGGTGGCACTGATGGGCACTGAAAGGCAGCACTGATGGGCACTGAAAGGCAGCACTGATGGGCGGCACTGACTGGCACTGAAAGGCAGCTCAGATGGGCACTATGTTGCCTTGATGTGCACTGGTAGGCACTGATATGTGGCAGGTGGCATGGATGAGCACTGAGCTGGCACTGATGGGGCTACACAGATCATCAGGGCACCCTGATCATCAGTGCTCTGATGATCAGCGTACATGTCCCCTCCGAGGAATGCCGATTACCGGCTCTCCTCTCCTCCCGAGCTGTCAGCTTGTGGGGAGAGAAATGCCGATAACCGGCATTTCCCTGTTTACATGTAATCAGCTGTGATTGGACACAGCTGATCACATGACCAAGCCGACATCTTCGGCTCTTTCCGTGGATTGGTGATCCGCTGTGTCCAAGGGACACGGCGCACCACCGATCGCCACGCTGCGCGCTCCGGGAGCCGCACATGCGTGGTTAGAATGGGAGGATGTCATATGATGTCCTCCCAGAACGAGAGAACCACCTTGCGTCCGTCATATTACTATATGGCTGGCGGGAGGCGGTTAAAAAAAAATGAATATGTAAACACAGGCTGCACTCATTAGAAAAGGATGCAATGAATAATATGGGTTCCCCAAAGAAAGCACTGACATTGGTTCATTTCAAATGCCATCTCTGGTCCTCTGTGGACCCCCCATCTGGACAGAAAAAAGGAAGGGGGATGAGTCACTGCTCTAACTCATGGGGTTGCATCTAAATTCCAGCTTGAGCTATTGAGCTCTGCAAACATGCTGTGATTTGTTTAGCTTAAGTAAACATAATACCAGTGGCTGCAGAGCTGCTGCTACCAGAGAGAAAGATGCCTTAAAGAGGGTCTCTAAGCTTTTATCTGTTGCATCTTTAAAAGATAAGTGAAACTTTTGGAGCATTTTACATGTTACACCCATATTTAGAGTATAACACGTAACATGCTCCAAGTGTGCCATCCTTTACCCCCCTGATCTCCCAACCCCCGTGACAGATGCAGGGAATCGTCTCTCTGCTGTTGAAAAACAGCGCAGCAATGTGGGGCTCCGCAATCTGTGAATGAACTACAAGTCCAATCTGCTGTAGAGGTTTGTAGTTCTCATTGAACTGCGAGGGTGATGATGAGCTTTCTCGTAGTTCCAGCTTTGCAACTGTCTGCCTGTATGGAGGCACAGGTAGGCAAGCTGAAGGAGCCTTACATTGCCTTCACGCTCTACTGAATGTGGGTGCAATGCTTTACAGACTCATTAGAAAAAATAATAAATGCACTTTTTTTTTCCTGCATAAATATGTGCATTTATTCGTTTTTCCCTTAAAAAAGGTGAACTTAGCCTTTAAAGACCACAGAACTGGTGAACAAAATGCTTTGGTAGTGAAAATACTTTTTCTGGGTGTACCACATCTGCCAGGAAACCCACCCAAGTTCTTCTGTTTCTGAAACAACTCTGGATCCTGAGATTCCTCCTGGGAGGACTCATCCATAGAGGATTGTATATCCTCCAGAGATTTCATCCTGAGGAGTTTCACCTGATGCCTCATCCTCCCTCAAAAGGGGAGGAGGGGAAAGAGTGCCCATGTTTGCATCTCAGGAGTTCCGACCCAGTGAGAACCTGAGAATTGTGCACTGCTGGAGTGCTGTACTTGGCTGACTCCCAGAGCGGTGAAAACCAATCTCCCCGCACGAGTAGGCTCAGATATTTCAAACATACATGTACTTTGCCCACATACAGTGACGCAGGTGCAATACTTCCCCTGTTAAGCTCCGCCACCACTTCTGTAGCCCCATAATAGAAAACTGCCCAGAATGTCAAATACACAGGGCAACACTATCAGGCAGAACTGTTGCCTGCTCCACTGATACACAGAGGCACTCAAGTCCAGCTGCAGGGCCAGAAGGCCCAATTGTCAATATTCTCAGTGAGAGTGTCCCACAGGCCCTTCTCTGACAACGTTCTCCAGGAGAATCACTGCCTTGGTCTATTAGAGTATCCTGCCAATGAGGCCACCAGATGCACTGTACACCAGAGATTGCTGCCCTCAAGATCAAGTGCCAACAGGCAGACATTACAGGCCGTCCTCCTTACAGGGTCCAGGTACAGTTTCTCTTGGTTTCTGGCCCTAGCAACCAATCCACATAGGACCCAACTCTGCTCCACTAGGTGTGTGAGGAAATAGGCCAGGAGCAAGGGGAACAAAGCCCTTGAAAAGATTTTCAGAGAGACACAGGGACACACATCCATCATCTACAGACTCCAGCACAAAACTGAGGCTTATCTGAGCTGGAAAGAATTATGCCTGGAAAGGGATTCCTGACGTTTCTGTTCAATGTCCAATACAAGATAGCCTTTTGGGGAAATGTGCCCTCTCTAGTGTCTAAATACAAATGCTTGAACTAGATGGAAGTTGTGTAGGATAGGCACCTTTATTTTTTTTAACATTACAAGTAGCCATCAAACATCGACACTGTAAAAAGGAGTGGGCAAATTCCAGTCATCATGGCAACTGGAAAAGGTCACCTTGTAATCAGGATGACCTGATTAAGGTAGGTAGAAAGTACCAGTGCAAGGCCCTCCCTCATAGCCAGAAAAGAAGGTGGTTGACAGCTCGAGAGGAGAGGAGAGCCGGTAATCAGCATTCCGCGGAGGGGACATCTACATTGATCATCAGAGCACTGATCATCAGTGTGCCCTGATGATCAGTGTAGCCCCAGCAGTGCCACCTGTCAGTGTCCCTCAGTGCCAGCTGTCAGTGCTCATCAGTGGCACATGCCAGTGCACATTAATGCCACATATCAGTGCCCATCTGAGCTGCCTTTCAGTGCCAGCTGTCAGTGCCAGCCAGTACCACCTATCAGTGCCATATATCCGTGCTGCCTTTCAGTGCCCATCAGTGATGCCTGTCAATGCCCATCAGTGCCACCTACCAGTGCCTCCTCATCAGTGCCCCCACTATTAGTGTCTATCGGTGCAGCCTCATTAGTGCACATCAGTGAAGGAGAAAAATCACTTATTTACAAAATTTTATAACAAAAAGAATAAAACTTTTTTTTTTCAAAATTTTCAGTGGTTTTTGGTTTATTTAAGAAGAAAATAAAAACAGTTGATTAAATACCACCAAAAATAAAGCTCTGGCTCAACAAATGATAAAAAATTCATATGGGTAGTGTTGCATGACCGCCGCGCAATTGTCATTCAAAGTGTGACAGCGCTGAAAACTTGAAATTGGCCTGGGCAGGAAGGGGGTATAAGTGCCCTGTAGGCAAGTGGTTAAACCTCCCTCTCCTGAACACGAAAGAATCGCGTTCAGGATAGGAACATTTTGACCACGGGGAAACCCAAAATGCGGGAAAACTGCGGTAACGCGTTTTTGTCTCGATTTGCATTTTCCCACGGCCAGCGGTCAGGGTAGGCTCATGTACATGAAGCCTTACACTCAGCCACTGTCAACCAAAATGCACTGACCTGGCCCACCAACCTGCAGAGACTGTAGGAATGAAAGCTACAATGTTACTGGCTCCTAAAGTCCTAAAACAGGCATCTAGATTTTTGTAAGATTTGTCCACACCTTTCTTACTATAAGCATGATCAAATATCTTTTATACAAGTGAAGAAAATAACAGAAGCAGCGCCTATACCCGAACACCATTAAAACCTTTTTCTACAGTCATGCCACAAGAATTGCATTGTAATGGGATTTATTTTTACTATGTGCTGTGTTTCACGCCTTATTGCGGAAGAAAGAAATCTTAACATCTAAACGCAGTTTTGCAACTTTTTCATGTGTTCGTAAAACAACGCATACATTTGCAACTACTGTGTGTATCTAGGTGAATTATTATGTGTGCATTATTGCTTTGTACAAGTAGTAGGGCTCAAACAATAGTTTGCCTTTGAGAAGGCAACAAGTTTAATTTCCAGACATCATGCACTCATTACAGGCACTTTGTGGTGTCCAAATGACAGAATGACCCGCCCCCCAATTCAATCAAGAACACCCGCTACCTCCAGGTATCTATTCATCTAGGGGTGCAGCTTGAGTTTTGTCCCTCAGGAATAACTCTGAACACTAGTAATCAAGCCCTGATCAAACTAATGCAAAATGGATAAAAATATAAAAAACAAAACAATCTTTTTTTTTTTTTTTTTTTTTACACAGATGTTCTAAGGAGAAAGGTACATGAGGAGTTTTACAAGCTTCCTGATCATGTGATCACATGATATGGAGGCTGTCATACCACCACCTGATCGGTATTCTGTAACCAAGAGCTGTTGGTGATAGTGGCAAAAACATGACAGCATCACAAAAAAAAAAAAAAAAAATCCACCTTTATAGCACCTTATACAGTGGATATAAAAAGTCTACATGCCTACATGCCCCTGTTAAAATAATTTCAGAACTTTTTCCACCTTTAAAGTATCATATAAAAACTG